CAAAAGCTGTAAAAACTTAATAAAAAATGTATTCAACATTTTTCAGTCAGGTCATCTGGACAGTTTCTTTTTTTGTGCTGAAATGTTTCGCCTTCGATCCGGAAGGCTTCATCAGTCAAGGAAACACACAACAAAACTGATTGGTCAAAACAAAAAGAGGGCCGGCAATGGAGGAGGGGCATACCAAAAAGACCATCTAATCACAGCAGAACTGGTTTGTTCCACTTTGGAGTAAGCTGTTGGAGGAAGAATCAGTTTTGTTGTGTATTTCCTTGACTGATGAAGCCTTCCGGATCGAAGGCGAAACGTTTCAGCACAAAAAAAGAAACTGTCCAGATGACCTGACTGAAAAATGTTGGATTTTATACCTGGATTATTGAGCATGGACTTTGTTGTTAAAAAACGTATTGTTTTTTTTCGGGTTCGGGCCTGTAATTACAGTTAATTGGTCGGGTCGGGCCAGAAAAAAATGATAAGAGTTCGGGGCAGGCCGGATTGGATTTTTTTAGGCCTGAATGCAACTCTAACAGGCAGAGATTACTTTCTGAAGGTTTCATAAAAATATGTGCCCTGATTCATGAGATATTTTGCAGAAACAGACACATGCACACAGAGAAATATGGGCAAAAACAACACAGTCCTTTCATCCATGGTGGTAGTGAGAAGAGTAGGCTGTGACGTGTCCTTGCGTCAGTTATACCATACCATACCATACCATTTTATTTATAGAGCACTTAAAACAGCTACAAGGCCAACCAAAGTGCTGTACAGACAGAACAACAGACAACACACAAAGCAATATATAAAATGAAGTAAATCAAAAATATAAACATAAAAACGATGCAGATAATAAATATTACGACAAACCAGTGTGAAGCGTACTGGTTCAAAACACAGATCCTCTGGTGTTGAAAGCTACTGAATAGTAGTAGGTTTTTAAACGGGATTTGAAAACCGAGAGGGAGGGAGCCTGTCTGACAAGCAGAGGTAACTCGTTCCAAAGTCTTGGTCCTGCTACAGAGAAGGCCCTGTCACTTCTGCACTTAAGACGAGTTCCTGGAACTGTGAGGACCAATTGGTCCGCTGACCTCAGGGAACGTGGAACGTTGTGTCGGTGTGTGTCTGTAATTAATGCTCCTTTTCTTTGTGCAGCTGATTGGCTGAGGATGGCTTAAAAGGACCAAGCTCCACCTGCTGGATGAGCAAGGGAGGCCAGAGGAGATGTTGGTCTGATGGTTGACGGTTCCTGTTCTCCAGCCTTGCTCCCGCTCCAGCCACTGATTATTGCACCCTGTCACAGTTGTTTGTTGTTGTTGAGCTACTTGTTTTTGGGACTGGGACTCACCTGTGTAATTTAGGTTTTCCGGTTTTTAGTTGTAGGGTTAGTCCCTGGGTTATAGGGCGAGGGGAGCAGCCCGAATTTGATGGCCAACTGCTGGTTGGTTCGGGGCTTCTCTCTCTTTTTGTTTGTTTTAATCAGGTCTCCCAGTCTGCATTTATGCTCAGGGGATTTAATGACAAAGCTTTGTCAAACTGAAAAATCATCTGGGCTTCATATGTTGTGTCCGGCCTTCTCCTAGACTTATCAGGACCATAGCATTGGTTTCCATACATTCATGAGAATGGTGAGCTACCTGCAAGATTTTGAGGAAACTTTCATGCTGCCTGACGTTGTAGAGAGCCTGTTTGAGCAGGACGATGGATGCGTCACGCTGTCTGGACTGCATGAGGGGGTGTGTTAACTTCTCCAGCACAGCCGTGTATTTCCACACCAAAGTCTGTGTCCCACTCAGCTCAGTGTTGACACACTTACCCGTGACTGAAAGGGCTTCTTCAAGAGAAGATGGCACTGCCAAGAAAACAAAAGAGTATTGATTAATAACGGAAAAAAACAAGGTGGAGAGAAGACAGCAATATCAAGAAAATGCAGAATTAAGTTTAAAGTACTTTTTTATTTAGAATTTTAAGAACAAGTTTCAATCAAAAATAGCGAAAGACAAACAACAAAGATAAAACTAAATCAAACAAAAAATGGCTAGATACATGTTGCTTCCAGACACTAACATCACATTAACAGCAAGAAAAATATCCATTTTTGAATACAACTGTACAGCACAAATGGCAAGCATCATCACTCAGTGAGTCCAAAATGGCATCCTACAGAAAACTGAATAATAATGTTTATAATCAAAAAATGAATAGAGAAACACGCACAGTTTTATTGGAAATAGTTGGAATGAGGACAAAGGATTCAGAAAACACAGTGAGGAACAGGAGAATGATTTGCTGTGGTGACCCCTGAAGAGGGGACAGCCAAAAGAAAAAAAGAAGGTGATGCCTGAACTGAATACAAGTAAAACCAGTGTCATAAAAACAATAAATGATTCAACAAGTAAATGTATACTTGATAGACATTTATATATTGTATGTTTTCTTCTTTCTCTTATTGTCAGAATGTTAATGTTAACATATATATATATATATATATATATATATATATATATGT